TTTTCTTCTCCTGACCTTTTTGATAAAAAAGGCAGGTATCTCGAACAAAGAGAGTCAAAGGTTGACAGATAAACACATTCCAAACAGTTATTACTGTAATCGTACTTTAATTTTATTTTTAATTTGTAAACTTGTGGACTCAGAAATAAGGTTTAGGAATAAAACAATCAAGTGTTTGAGGGGTGTATTCATGAGAAGTATTTAAATTCTGTCAAGAAATAAAAGCAACAGTTTGCAATTTCATCCTTGGGAGTGTGTAGTGCATGAAAATATTATACTACTCACACTTTGCTAAGGATCACAAGCCCGCCTCCGTGGTGTAGTGGTTAGAGCATCCGCCTCGAGAGCGGAAGGTTGTGGGTTCAATCCCTAAGGCGTCATACCAAAACTCGTTAAAATATGGTACATGTTGGTCCCTGCCTGGGGCTCGGCATTAATGGGTACATCAAGGACTGGTCGGCTCGGAGTCAGTATAATGTGTCTGAGTGGGGTATTCATGCTTCACTGCGGCATGGTATCTCAGTGGGCTAGCACTATAAAACCAGCTTCAGTCTGGGCTCATACAAGCAGCCGCACATACACATACACACGCATATAAATTCTCAAGCACGACGTTAACTCATTAAGGCCGAGAGCCGCATATATGGGGCAAATTAATCAGCTCCTCACAGCGAGAGACGCACTGTACCTATTATTTTAACCAATTTAGTAGTACTGAGCAAATATTAGCTTTTCTTACAAGAGATGCTACCTTTAGTGTCAATCAGAAGAAGTATTTAAAGTGTTTTGATAGCAATTGCTAATCACTATCTTAGGCTTATACAGCGCTTGGCAAATGAACACATGTCGGCGAGAAAGGGGATTATGATGTTTTTACAGAGGTAAGTGTCTGGTACTCTTCGTTGATAATGGATACTAAAAAACTTCTTTTGCACATTGATTGAATTAGATGTAATGGTTTAAAGGTTACTGAAGATTATATTTTCTTCAACTTCCTAATAAATAGGTAACAATATACGAAATTTCATGGACATACAAAGAATTCAAACACAATAGAATAGTTTGAATTTACTTTTCAGGTATTATTACGTTGTCATGTTTCATATAATAAAACATAATGTATAAACACAAATAATTATACATCCAAGCTCGAATAGATTAGACATAATTTAACTTACTAATTTGAAGCTTACTGAATTGTAACTAGTTATTTTCCATAATCTAAAGTTGATAATGTTACCTAATATAAAGTGATAAGTCGCGCCTTTGCATCGAATATATATACATGTCAGTGTTATTACAACAATGAAATCTTTTACTACGTTTGTTACAAAACACAGTAAGTTGGTAAATCAAAAGATTCTTATACATAGCCAGAAGTGAGTGAGTGAGTTATTACATGTAAACCATACAAAGGTATTTCAAGCATTTATGTTCACGCTGTTGAAAGTTACATGTTGATTTGAATTGTCAGTTTTCTATGCAATTTACATGAGCATTGTGTAAAACATTTGTATTTGATCTCTGTAATTATCAAATCCGGTGTAATTATCACGTGTATCAATGAACACAGTCTCTATTGATCCATCGTCAATAAAAGCTGGATAGTATATCAGTTACGGTAACTATATACACGCGCATAATCATTCAATCAGATCACAGTAATGAGATAAGCGAACACCTCTTTCGACCTTGAAATAACAGCCTCCGGTAGAATGCATGTGTAGTTACGCCCTTGTTGAAAGGTTTGTCCTGTGACAAGTGTAAAATAAACAGATGCGATGTTATATCATTGGACAACTTGCTTTATGGAGTCACGCCCCTCTCTCTAATGTTTATGCATACAAGCACATCTGTAATCTTATGAATCTCGTTTACATTCAGTATAAATATAGGCACACCCATCTTCATAAATATTTGGGGGCATTAAACTGCAAGTTTATACATTATAATAATTCAGTATTGTGTCACTTTTTAAATTCTATAATATGTGTACTTTAATTTGGAAATTCATTCGTATCAAGGTGAAAATTATATTTACATGTACAGCAAACCATTATGTTTTATGTACTAGTTGTGTGCACAAAATGTATATGAAAATAAATACTATCTCTACTCAATGGTTGGATTTCAATCACTTTGTTTACTTATCAAAAACATTAAAATGTGTTTTCGATCTCTCAGATCTATCTACTCCTATTTGTCTTATGTGTATATTTCATAGATCATTACGATTATGTACACGTCTGTTTACAATACACAAACTGTTACATGATAGCTTGAGTTGATAAAGCCGAAACCCAGCATATCGACTGGTCAACAGCATAGCCAAAAATCAATCTCTATCCAGCTGTTGAGTGACCAAACGTGGTCTTCAGAAATTTCGCCCACGCCCCATCACCTGTCCCTTCCTCTGTGACAGGTATCTCATGATACGATTGGTCATAGACAACAAATGATCAGCCACTATATTGAACAATTGGGATACCGCACGTTCTATTGGGGAAATTTGATGACGCCCTAACACATGACTCTTTGTTTCATGTCTATACAAGGAATCTGTATTATACAATTTTTATATGTATGTTCGTATGATAACGTATGTTTTTGCATTAAATCTAGATGGAACAAAGTTATGAATGTGCTCTTTGTTAGTCAGAGACTAGCGTAATAGTACTTTTCTTGAAATATACAGTTTACACTAGAAATGTATCGGCAAAAACGCTAATATTGTAGAAGATCATAAAGCATGTAAGTAAATTACAGTATGTCATTGTCATAGATGTTTTGTAAAATTAAACCTCACACAATGATATGGGAGAGAGAATTTGTTTATGTATGTCTCATCTCTTATATACAAAGAATGCATACATATGTTGATAAAATATAAATGTACAAGCCGTCAAAGGTCTACATGAGAAACTCGCAATAAAATTACATAAAACGTTGCAATGCATGATATGTACTCATATTATAGGCATAAGATTATGGTACTTGCTGCAATAATAGATATACAATTGACATTATTAATAACAGTGATTAAGAGGTGATAAGATACAAATTATGAGAGGATTTAATAATATATTTAAGATGTGAAGTGATTAATAACGTTGTAAGGTAGGAAGTCAGTAGCGGAGGTAATAAACATGAAAGTAGGTCGTTAAAGCTGATGGGGGCAAGGTGACTCATAGCTTAGGTAGGGAAAACTTGTTAGACTATCAAGATTGAGCGGCGTGTCCGGGACCTTGCTACCAGATCTTGGTACTATACGAGTCATATATGGTTAGGGGAGAGAAACTCTGATATTCCTGGAATACACCTCACGGTCTTGCAAATATGGTAGTGGGGGTACGAAATATAGGTGGGGGAGAGTAATAGATAGTCAGGTTATGGGTTATTGACCAATAGAAAAAATGAAAAAGGGTGTTGGCTGTGACGTAGGAACCCAGGTTTAAGCTGGAGCAAAGCTCAGAGACGGGAGAGTGGTGCGAGACTTGAAGCCGAGAACGAGTGTGCTCCTAGGAACCCCAAGCCTGGGGTCTAGGGCGCATCAGCTCTCCTCTCACTGTCACTAACTTTCGTACTAAGAAACAAACTCAAAGCACCAGCATTTCGACTGAGACTGAAGCTTCCCAGCTGAAGTCTTCTAATTATGTGACAAATAGAGTAGGTTGGACCAGCAACACAGTGTTAATAAAACTGTGGAACGAAGATTATCGTCTTGTGGTTGCTGGAGGAACTACGGTAAAGGTCCAAAGGGCCCTCGGGTACTGACACGGTACCTCTCGCACATCCCTTATCGTCAGGACCGAAGTACGAGGGTATACCGTAGTTCCGGTAAGAAACGCCCTCCCAGGTGTGGGATAACTGGCAGGTAAATTCCATCTACCTGTCAGGTAAAGGTGCTAGTCGGAACCCTTTGGATACTCACACATGCTTTCTTTTAACTTGTATCTTTACAACACAATTAAACAATCACAGCTTGTTTGTACGACTAGACAGTTTGCTGTCATCCCCGAAACCTGCCAGGGAAATCAGGTGTGAATAGCACTAATTAGCTTCGCAACAGCGAGCAGGGCGATCGGCAAGGGGTTCCAGGTGTTGAGTAGTGAAGTGGCTGTCGGGCTTAATTCACCGGGCCAATTTCACCTCACCTCACCTAACGATCACAAAAATTCACAACTTTACTTAAACGTAGATTTATAATTTGCAATTGTATCCATTTAAAACTGGATAAATAGTAATATGGTAACCCTTCTTTAGGCAAACACTCACTTTATCTAACCTTATGAACTTGATACACAAGTAACTATAAAAATGTTTTTCATGGCACCAATCAACCATTTTGCAAATCATGGAACGAGTCATTGACAAGTACACAACACTTGTGAATAGCAGGTATAGGTTAGACAAGTTGAAATGACAAGCTGAAACCTAGGATCCATGCTTACAATAAGCTTAGATATTTAAACCAAATCTGACCACACCACCACATACAGTTTTCTGTTGAATCCATGTTTTGATCCTAAGCAAAGTGTGAACAGTATAATATGCTCCAGAAAAATACATATCTAGGAACTGAATCAAACTTAGTGCTACGAAAAGAAAAAAATTCTAAAAATCCCTGAACAGCATACTGACAACCTGGTTTGTGTTCACAGTTTCATGAAAGAATATCTCTTAGTTTTAGAGATGTGATCTGGAAACACACCCTATTATGACCAGAGTCTAAGTCAAATTTGTTACCATCAAACATTAAAAAAAATAATTTTCAAATAACATAAGGTACCAGCTGACAACCTGTTTTTTTGTGTGTGCAAAGTTTGATAAAAGAATACCAATCAGTTTATGTAAACATAAAAAAAAAATGATAACAGACAGAGAGACATATTGATTATTGTATCCCCTGTATAACATAGCAGGGGATAATGGTGGAACGACAACTTATAGATCGAAGATCTCCATTTTAAGAACATATTGTCACTTTGAAGTATACATACCATCATGTGATATTCTTCATGACCATCTAAAGGTTCACAAACTATAGTTTTGATGGAATTCATAGGTATTTTGTCTGTTCTATCTGCAAAAAATAGATAAATAGAAAGGATTAAATGGTACATAGTAAGAGAGCATACATATACTGAATAATAATAATAATAATAATAATAATAAACCACCCGACCTCTCTGCTGTCATATTGCGATGCGAAAGCATATATTGAGATATGTATTGCAATATATTGCAAGAAGTTCTTTTTAACAAATTTTTTTTACTTATAATCAAGTTAATGCTTGGTTTATTAAGTAAAAACACGATAAAATCACTATGCTTGATTAATCTTTAATAAAAACTTTTAACCATGACAAAATAAAAAAGGAAAATAATATTTGGCACAAATGAAACAAGGAAAAGTGAGTGAGTGAGTGAGTTTAGATTTACTCTGAACTCAGCAATATTCCAGCTATATGGCGGCGGTCTGTAAATAATTGAGTCTGGACCAGACAATCCAGTTATCAACATCATGAGCATCAATCTGCACAATTGGGAGAAACAAGGAAAAGAACAATTGAACATCAGTTTGAACTAGTTTCTCCACTCTCGAAAAAAGACCTGAGATTTTAGACAGGACATGTCAGATATCACTAGTCATTAATTAAATATGTAAATATTTAAAACATTCAGATTCAAAACATTGCGAAACACTTGAACATAAATTAAGAACACAACTTGAAACTGAACTTAACTTGACTTCCAGTGTGAAAAAAGGAAATATTTTAAGATTTCTGAGTGTTACGAAGTTTTCCCGATTGCATGTCAAAATACCGGTTCCAATCAGCGTATCGCAATATGTATCGTTTTCAAATCTAAACTGGTAAATACCGGTAAACCGGTTATACTGCACAGCTCTAATAATTATACTAATAATATGAAATGTCGACTTTGCAGTGACATTACAGAGACTGTCCAACACCTTGTCAGCGGCACCAACAGCATATCTTGAAAGACATGATGGCATGGCTCGTTGCTTCCACTACCGTCTACTACTGCCTGCGGCTTTGACTCCGAGGTCCATCCATGGTATGACCCTGAACATGTCCAGGGCATCATGGAAAATCATGCTTTCAAACTTCTGTGGAATAGGGCCATATACAGCCTGAGAAGAATTCCAGCCAACAAACCTGATCTTGTCCTTTTTGATAAAGCCAATGAATTTATTTATATCATTGAATTTTCTGTCCCTTTTGACAGCAACGTGATTGGCAAGATTCAGGAAAAGCATACTAAATATGTGGACCTCTCCTTTGAAATGTCTCGCTTGCATCCCAATACACTGTCATCAGGCTCCCTATTGTTCTCGGTGCCCTTGGTTTGGTACCTCCTGATCTCTTGGTGCAGATCAGGAGAGTGCCCAGGTTCTCCATCGGGAGCACAGCCCTTCTGACACTCTGGGTAACGCAGAAGTTGCAGTGTTGGGGAGCCTTCACATTCTCCTGAAAGTTCTTGAAGAGTTTCACTAGGTAGCGTTTCCTGGGAGAAGTCCCACTCGCTGTCTGGGCTGCGTGTAGAGGGGGCAAGGGCCCTGAGCTGATCATGAGCCTTACCAGACTGTGCCAGGATCACCCGAACCCTCTCTGCTTTTTTTATCTTAATCTGTAAAACATAATATGATGATGAAGTCAGCCGGTCTTAAATGTGAAACTGAGGGCTTCCTTTTTGCTGCCAAAATGTGATTCTTAAACAAAATATCAATATGAAATGTCAACTTTGCAATGAATTTACAGAGACTGTGCCCATCACTTTGTCAGTGGATCCCCTTCCTTGGCAGAAACAGCATATCTTAAAAGACATGATGGCATGGCTCATTGCTTCTACTACTGTCTTCGCCATGCCATTGGCTTTGACTCTGAGGTCCATGCATGGTATGACCCTGAACATGTCCAGGGTATCATGGAACATCATGCTTTTAAACTGCTTTGGAATAGGGCCATATACAGCCTAAAAAGAATTCCTGCCAACAAACCTGATATTGTCCTTTTTGAATATGCCAATTAATTTATTTATATCATTGAATCTTCTGTCCCTTTTGACAGCAGTATGATTGGTAAGATTCAGAAAAAGTATGCTAAATATGCGGACCTTGCCTCTGAAACGTCTTGCTTTCATCCCAAGTACACAGTCATCAGTTACCTCATTGTTCTCAGTACCCTTGGTGTAGTACCTCCTGATCTCTTAATGCAGATCAGGAGAGTGCCTGGGTTCTCTGTCACCTTAAAATTCACATGCACTGTGAGCCAGTTGAACGCAAAACCGGAGCTCATCAGGAACCTTTACATGAGCAGAGAGGCAGACCCATTTCTTCTTCTTCCTCTGATCTTTCTGAAAATCCTGTTTTCATTTATGGGGAAATATGCGATTTACCTTTAGAAAAATGGTGGCCAGTTCAACAACTAAACAGTCTTTCCCCAAAATGAAAATTATTTACTTAATGAATCTATTTCTTTAAAACTTTCTATGGACTGTCCGTTACATGAAGTTAATTGCTGTGTCTATACAATTAACATCACCTATCGGGATTTGTGGTCAGTCGACTTGCTGCAAGCTCTGCTAAAGTTTTATTTGAAAGGATTACAAAAGCAGTCAGAAGATACCAAACGTGTTCACATTGGTTCCTTAAGGCATAGTGAATATCCTCACAGTAAACTTGGCATCTTGCTGGCTCTCTGGAGGATGCAAATTAGTATATTTAGCCATCCATGAGGCACTTGTCAAGTCAACCATATTGGTCCCTACATCCAGTAAATGACATGGTTCTCTCAAGTGCATGTGGGCTACCGGTTTGAGGTCACTACACTGGTTTTATCAAGCATTGTATGTGTAAGCAGAACTACCTACCAACTTTTACTTTGTGGAGATGTAGAAACTTATCCAGGGCCGAGAAGTTTAGATTAAACTGAATTTTATGTGTTCAAGAATGAACTTCGTACAATAAAGAACAAACTGTCAAAGGATATGAAGGACATCAAATGTGACAACCCATAAGCTGTATTCATGTGTGAATGGAATTGGACTGGACATCGATGTCATCAAATATGAACAACAAATTTTGAAGTTAGATGTTGAGGCCCTAAATGCACAAATGGCAGAGAGACTGGATTTGAATTACTTTAGATATCTATTTGATAAGCTTAATCTGAAGCATTGCTCATGTGACAAAATACTAAACAAAACAGGAACCCAGTTACTTAATTTCTGCTCAGCTTTTAACTTGTCTATAGATAATGGCCGGTGTGGTACTGACTCAAGAATTGGTGACTTTACTTTTATTGGTGCCTCTGGAGCAAGTGCCATTGACTATGTGTTGTCCTCTGGAGTGCTGATTTCACTCTGTCAACGCTTTGACATTGAAAGCAGGTCAGAGTCCAACCACCTTGCGCTTGTGTGTTGATTACAGTCATTGGACCAGCTGACCCTGAGTCTCATGAAGCACATGACCTTTGTGAATACCGTTATGTGTGGGATGTAAGCAAATGAGACTTATTCAGAAGCAACTTACTTTCTGACGATTGTTTGGGATTTTCAACTCCTTTTCAGAATTAATGCTTTCAGATATTGATAAAGCAGTCACAGTTTACTAATGCCATCTGTAATGCTGCAAACAGTATGAAACGAGCCAGTAATACTTTTCAGAAAACATTGCAGGTCTGGTTTGATAAAGAATGTGAATATTATAGCTGTGAAAGAAATAGGCTCTTGTCTGTCTTCAGGTCTCATAAGGATCCAGTTTCATTCCAGAGATACATACAGGCAAGAAATAAGTATACATCAGTGTTGAGAGATCAGAAGTTAAACCATAATGTTAGTTCTTGTGACACTTTGTTAATTTACAAAAAAGTAAAATGTTTTGGACTGTTTTCAAAAGACTTTCACAAGTTCATCAAGTTGACCCAATATATCCATAACACAGTGGTATAACTTTTTAAATATATTAAACACGAATGATGATTTAGTTCCGATGAAAGATTAGATCGACAAAGGTTTTGATGATATGACTCAGTTTATCCTTGATTCTCCAATTATGGAAGATGAAGTTGAAGATGCAGCTAAGGGTTTGAAATGTAAAAATCAGTAGGTATTGACAAGTTAATTGTGGAGTTCTTCTGCAGTTCCTTTGATTTGTTACTGCCTTATTTGGTAATATTATTCCATGCCATATTTGATTCTGCATACTTCCCAAAAGCATGGTTGGTGGGAATTATTGTTCCCTTGCATTAAAGGGGGATATTCATTCTCCTAATAATTTCTGAGGATTTACAATTTTAAGCATTTTTAGTAAATATATGTGTCCATTTTAAAGAGATATCTTACATTCATGACTAATGCCAATGATAAACTTGTGGAATCACAGACCATTTTTTTCAGGGATACCCGGACATTGACAATATATTTATTTTACAATTAGTGATTCAACAGTATTTATCAAAGAAAAGGGGAAAGGTTTATGCTCTATTTTTAGATTTTTCAAAAGCTTTTTATCTTGTCAATAGGTCGAAATTATGGATGGTCTTGATGAGGAAAGGGTTTTCTCCAAAAATGTACAAGCTATATACAATCAAGTATATTCATGTGTTAGTCTAATAATATGTATTCAGATATGTCTGACTGTTTATATTATTGTTTGCCAATGATGTCATTAAGATATCTGATCTTTGGTCCGTAGAAAGGAATATGCATTTTAGAAAAGAATATACATTCATATTGCAGTACCAGTTAATTAGGATGAGACTAAAGGGGTTGTTTTCAAGAACAGGGGTATTCCCTTGAGAGTGAGTTTAGATTTACGCCACAGTCTGCAATATTCCAGCTATACGGCGGTTCTCTTGAGAAATGAAAAATGGCATTATGGAGGGAAATGTCTCAAGTGTGAGCCATACTTATAGGTATTTGGGTATTAATTTTTTGGGATAAGCATACCCAAAGTGCAGTTTCTTAGGCTAGAAAAGCTGTGTTAGGCATATCATATCACATAGATTTAACCCAGTAGTATACACAATGGAGATATGAGACCAACCCCCATTATCAAGCCCTTTTTCCTCAATTTTGCTCCCATAGTCCCCATAAAAACAGATCAAATAATTTGATGTCTCACCAATATGAAGATGTATTAAAGGTAAATATTATTATTTATTAATCATGGATAAGATTTACAACAGCCCACAGGGATATTGGAAAGGGAAAGGAGTAATACAAAAAGCTAGCTGCAGTGGCTAACGTATCCGAAGATGCTGCTATAAGGATTGGTTAAAGAAACAAGCAATATGGCAAATATATTTACCAGCTCCACAATATATACCCAGGGGGAAGTTTGATATTTCAACGACTAATCAGGAACATCAGGCCGACCTCTTGTTTCTTCCACACAATAAGGTAAGACGTAAAACGCATAAATATCCTTTGTCCGTAGTGGATGTGGCTAAAGATTCAACTTCAGTGGCTAATGCACTGGCGCATATATACAAATGAAGTCCTTTGAAGTGGCCCAAAGAATTACATGTCGACCCTGGATGCGAGTTCATGGGATCTGTGTCGCAGCTGCTTGCAAAGCACAAGGTCAATGTCAGGCGCAGAATAGCGGGCACTCATCGTAGCCAAGCTATTGTCAAGAGATTTAATCGAGCATTGCTTGTTTGGATATCAGTATTATGTGGGCAGGAGATGGTAAAGCCCGTTAAAGGTCACATGCAACCAAAAAATCAAACATAATTAAAACACAATTATCACTTATTCATGACATATAATATACATTGCTGGTTATGAAAAAACATAAAAACAAAATTATATCGTTTCAATGCGTTTTGTTTATGGTGTATAGCCTGATAGGTGTTAAGTTCAAATTGCATGTGGTCAGTGATTGAAATTGTGTATTGAATATTGTCATTAGCAGACGGGCAGGCAGACACATAGGTGCCAATAAAACAGACTTTGAGTTTTGTCGGTGACAACGACATATCTATATCACAGTTAGTAATTCTGTCTACGCTAAATAATGACATTGCTTGTAAGTATCGAACTGAGAAAGTGACTCGGTAAGAAGAACGTTTGGTGAAATAGACAAATGAAATTATATAAACAGTTAAATCGGTAATCTACTGTAATAACATATAAAAAGATCGCACCTGTGAAATATCAACAAAACATTAGAAAAATAGCTCACACCAAAGCCTTCACCAAATATTCACCGGACAACCCGCTTCCAAGCTCTGCGAACCTATTTCACTGCACATGTGCTATGAGCGCAGCCCAGCTGTTGAAACTACTTCAATTCCCCCAAGCTCTGGGGGAAAGTTAATGAATCGTTTGAACTAAGATTTCGTGTGGTGTTTTTTCATCGAGTTATTTTTCAACTTTACAAGTTGAATTTGCATTTTTGATGATTTGTTTCCGTAAGTCCATACCGAAAAGGTATCAGAATCTGCAAAGTTGTGTTTTACGTTGCATGTGACCTTTAAATGATCGACAGAATGGGTGACACGTTTATCCCCAGTTGTGTCAGCATTAAATAACGAAGTGACAAGATTAATCAGTAAGAAACCATTTGATTTCATTTAAATGAAATCCGGAACTTCTGAATCATCTGCACCATGCGGGGGCAATGAGCAGAAACTTTCAGGTCGGGTCATCATAAGGTATTTATACCAGCCTGGTGAATTAGACTGAGAATGATGTCCGGTAATTTCAATCCCCGATACGGTGGAGTGAGGTTGTATTTCATTCAGCATAAACCAGAGTTTTTGCGAAGGGCTTACCGAATCTTATGGGATCTTCCCCAGTGGTTAATATCAGCATTCCATCAGACTCGTTTAGTTTGAGACAGGCTCCAATGGGTTTTAAAATTTCGTCATTCAACATACAAACAATAATATAATAACCGTCGGATATCGTGTGGCATATTCCTTTGATGAATAACCTGTTGTTGTCTTTATTGCTATTGATATTCGACCATTGCAGGTAATACATGATATCGCGGAAGCATTGCATGAAGCAGTTGAACGGATTCGCCATTCGTTAATGGATTCGAATAACCCCGGGATTGTGGTCTGATTTTGTCTTATTTGGTTAAAAATTCTTTAGCGGCGACGTACAATAGACCGGCCACGGCGACAACGAATGCCCACAAGTTTTGACTAAGTCACGTGACTGTTTTTGATAAGAATCCTAACAACCAGGAAATGATGCTACCAAGGATACCCAGAAGGGCTTCCAGGGCTCTCCAGGACAGTTTTGCTAGGGCTTCCCCAGGGATTTTAAATGTTGTTTTATCCATTCTTTCACACCGCCCTTGTCATTTGGTGCTCGACTCGTAGTGGTACCACCACCGCCCATAAGAGAAACGGTTAAAGTCAATATGATGAACCCCAGCACAGTTAAAATGCTAGCTATGGTGATTCCCTGTTCTCGGAATAACGTTTTAAGCATTTCGGCCAACATGGTGTCTTTGTTCAAAACTCACTCGACTGATTTGGGATTGAAGTGCTTCTCAGTTGGTGGAAGCCGCTTCTAATCAGGACAATATTTCATCTTGTAAGTTACGTAATCTTTCTTCGATGTGATGCCGGATGATCTTGTTCGAGTTTTGTTTTCTCGTAATCTATACGATTGTCGAGAGTGTTGTTTTTTTTAGTGATGTTATTCATGAGTGATCCGCGCATGGTTTGCATAACCTTCTCTAACCCTCGCAGTTCCCGAATGCCATAATTCAGCTCCGGTATTTCTAATCCACTATCGTTGATCGTGGACAACACGTCGTTGAGTCCATCCGACGCTTCTTGAGGCACATCTCTCAACTCGTCTTGATTTAATGCACTTGCTGTTACACGGCACTCGGTCCACACTGTTTGCATCTTTTTAGTGGTCTTCGTGGTAAGTTTGGATTTACTACTACAGCATTCTAGTTTTAATTCATCCAAACGAATTGGATGCAATGAGATCGATGGAAAATGTTGCTTTCAAACTTCTGTGGAATAGGCCCATATACAGCCTGAGAAGAATTCCAGCCAACAAACCTGATCTTGTCCTTTTTAATAAAGCCAATGAATTCATTTATATCATTGAATTTTCTGTCCCTTTTGACAGCAATGTGATTGGCAAGATTCAGGAAAAGCATACTAAATATGCGGACCTGCGGAAATGTGTGGCTTGCACCCTAAGTACACTGTCGTCAGACTCCCTATTGTTCTAGGTGCCCTTGGTTTGGTACTTCCTGATCTCTTGGCACAGATCTGGAGAGTGCCCGGGTTCTCCACTGGGAGCACAGCCCTTCTGTCACTTTGGGTCATGCAAAAGGCTGCAGTGTTGGGGAGTCTTCATATTCTCCGGAAAGTTTTTGGTGGGTTCGACTAGGCAGCGATTCCTGGGAGAAGTCCCATTTGCTGTCTGGGCTGCATGTAGAGAGGGTATGGGCCCTGAGCTGATGATGAGCCTTACCAGCCTGACTGTGCCAGGATCACCCGAACCCTCTCTGCTGCATTTTTATCTTAATCTGTAAAACATAATAATAATACTTCATTTATATAGCACCTAGTATCCATCTGACTAGTTGTTCACTGGATGCTGTAGTCAGAATCTGATTATTATTACCCCAGATAACCCAAGCTGCCCGTTAGGCACTAGAAAGTTATAGTCACATGACTTTATCCAACTGGGTACCCATTTTCTGCTGGGTGAACAGAGGCAATTTTGAACAAGATATTTTTATGGATTAAACTTCTTTTTAATTTCTCTCAGGACTTTTCGAGACCATTCCAGGTCCCTTCATCAGGTGAACTGGCAGTTAGGACTATGACATCATCACTATGACGTCATAACTGAGTTCTGACGTCACAATGCAAGTGACATCACAGTACACTAGGGAGAGTACTGTATAAGTGAGTTTGAAGAGTTAATTACATAATGATGAAAATTCATGCTAAATAATAGAGTTGAAAGTTGAATTGTCAATACACAACAACTGCTAATTACACAAAAGTTACTTGATAGCAGGCTTTCCAAAAAGAATAGTAGACTTGTTTTTCTTTTATCTAAAGTTCATCAAAAGTTAATCAAGAGGTCCCATGCACTTGGCAGGTATACACCTTGATCACGATTCATTGTTGGTTTATGTCTCCTTATCTCCACAGCCTCCTGGAGTTTTCTCCGACGCCAGTCGTTGTTATTTCTCGAAAGCACCCTGATGTCATTCCACATGATTACATGACTTGGCTTATTTGCCTTGTGCTCCGATATAGCTGACTTATCATTTTGTTTGCATACTGACGACTTGTGTTCAGCAACCCGGGTGTTAATGGGCCTGAGAGTCTCGCCAATATATTGATCGCCACAGCTGCATGGTATTTGGTATACACATCCTCTAGGGTTGGGGTTTCCATTGCTAGATCCTTTTCCATTTGCCTGGAGGAGTGTCTTAATTGTTGTACCGCGAGAGAAAGTTACATCAAAGCCCGCTTTGCTCTTGATTAGTTGGGCTATCTGATGGCTGACTGGTCCCACGTAGGGTATGGTGATCCTGATTGGGGATGGTTCAGGCTTGAGGTGCAGTTCTGATGATTCAAGCGTTTTGGTGATAGTCCTGGAGACAAGACGGGCTGGGTAGCCATTGAGGACAGTAAAGGTTCTCTTGAGGTAATCAATTTCACTGTTTAAATTATCTGGGTGACACATCGACTTGGCTCTTCTAGTGAGAGTAGCAATAATTGCTTGTTTGATCTGTGGGTGGTGACAGGAGTTGTAATTGATATACTGATCCGTGTGAGATGGCTTCCTGTACACAGAAGTGACGAGACCTTTGTCTGTAGATTGGAGGGCAACATCTACGAAAGGAAGTTGTCGGTTCTGCTCAGTCTCCATTGTGAACTTTATCCTCGGATGCTGGTTGTTGAGGTGCTGCAGTAGCTTTGCTGGATCATCTTGCTTGTCTATGGTTGTGAACGTATCATCTACTTTGCGATACCAGCACAAAGGTTGAAAGGGTGCTGTGGAGAGAGCAGATTCTTCAAAGGAGGTCATATATATTTCAGTGATAAGCGGTGACAATGGTGAGCCCATAGGTAGGCCATGTATCTGTCTATATATCTTGTCATTAAATGTGAAATAAGAGAAATCAAAACAGGTTGTAGCGAGGTTAATGATGCTATATATCGTGAGACTGGTATCAAGTTCTTTGATTCGAGTCTGGAGCTTGTTCCGGAGAATTTTCAGGGTTTCTTGCAAAGGGATGTTAGTGAAAAGGTCA